GTCCTTACATGGTCATACCAATGGAGGGGAAATAGTGTGAGCAAAACGATGGTAAAGCATTTTAATTGTCCATTCTCCTTCTTCTAGATTTTCAAACTGTATCATTTTCCTGGTGAATAAAGAAAGTGAAGATCCCCAACTAACGCTGTTTTAATGTTAAGGTGGGTTTCTACACTGAGTTAAATAGTTTATTTGCCTTGGTTCATGGGCATCCTTTAAAATAAAAGGACTGCAGTCAACGTCTCCTGTTGGAAATTTTGCCATATTTTTAAATGCACGACAGGTGCCCTACTTCAATGGCTTTTAGGCAGTGTATTCGATCTCAGAAATCAGGATAGTTTAATTTTATGACGCCGCAAGGCAAGTTGGAGTCTCTATGTATAACAAGCCGAAGTAATGCAGAACGATGTAACATAGAAATGTTGGGGGGCTTGTTGGGTAGAAACAACCTACGAAGGTTGCACTGTCAACATGGTAAATGAAGGGGTAGTGGATTCCAACCCCAACGCTAAGCGCACGAATGAAGATGGTGTTTCGGTAGTTCATGTTGATAATTTGTGTGACTAACAGAAGGAGGCACATTTATTACTGATATAATGCACCTCCTCTCCTATTTGATTATCCTCAGACCAGACAGACTGAATGGAATTGGGACAGGCTCAAGGTCAATCAAAAGCAGTAAAGGATTGCTCTACAATTCTTGCCAAAAAGACACAAAACAACGTATGCATTGCGATCGGTTAGAAGAGTCGCCTTTCTTTTAAGGCAAAAAAGCCCTTAACGACGCCTTTTTTTCCTATAATTTGTGGTGCTCCCTCCATGCATTTGCCTCAAGTCTGACTGTCAGTAAATCCATCTCTGTGAAGGTAGCGTGTAATCAAAGTAGATGTTCGCTGTTCATACTTTGGTTGTGTGTTTAAAATGTGGAGTACATCTTTACTTTCGGTGGGCGTAAGCAAGCTGTCTTCTGAAGGGATGTCCTGCAAAGCTAAGTATTCCTT